GGGGGGGCATGCGCCTTTAATCCCAGCACTAGGGAGGCAGAGGCAGGTGGATCTCTGTGAGTTCAAAGCCAACCTGGTCTACATAGAGAGTTTCAGGACAGGCTCCAAAGCTACAGAGAAACCCTGTCTGTTTGTTGTTTGTTGTTCAGAACAAACAACAAACAAAACAAAAATATTATTCTGTGACAGATAAAAAAATTACATGTAAGCCACATTCTAAGGTTGATGAGTAAAGTTTTGGTTTTGTTTTTTGTTTTAGATTTAGTTTGTGTGTATGAATGTTTTGCCTGAATGTATGTATGTGCAATACATGCTTTCCTGATGTCTGTGGAAATGAGAAGAGGGCTTCTGACCTGGAACTGGAATTATAGATGGTTGTGATCCACCCTGTGGGTGCTGGGAATTGAACTTGGGTCCACTGCGAGAGCAAAAAGCTCTTTTAAAGGCTGAACTATCTCTCCAACTCCCACCCACAAGTAAAATTTTATTAAATTAGAATTACATCCATTCTTTGCAATTTTTATATTAACTTATTGTGTGTGTGTGTACTTGTGCTATGAGTGTAGAGGTCAAAGGGTAAATTGTGGGAGTCAATTCTCTCCTTCTACCACATGGGGCCTAGGCTATCAGTTTTGGCCATGAGCATTTGTAAGTAGTGAGTCTTGCTGGCCCTCTTTGTATTGTTTATGGCTGCTTTTGTGTTACTGTTGCAGAACTGAATAGCTGCCCACTTCAGCAGCTACAACACTGACCCTCTGTTTTAGATATTTACTATCTGGCACTTGGCAGAAAAAGTTTGCTAACTTCTGTTTAGAGGGAAAGGCACAGCTCATGAAAGAGAAAGCAGTGCTGCATTATGGGACTCAAAAGAGAAAGAAACTCATTTAGGTTGACATATCAAAGCAAAACTCACTATTTCTTAGAGAAAATAGATGGGCCCTGAGTAGTAAGATGGGATGGGCAGGGGTTTTCCAAACACAGGCAATCGCCTACGTCCAACAGAGGAGTGGGAAAAGTGCCCCTGTGAGTAAGATGAGAAGTCCATTTTGACTGCAAGGCAGTTCTAAGCAAAAAGGGAAAGTGTAACACAACTTTGTACAG